TCTGTCTCACTCTTTGTCTGTCTCTGTCTGATCTGTCTACCTCAAACTAGGCCTGTTCTTCACAACATAGCCACACATTATAATTACTTGGGGAGCTTTTCAGAAATAGTGGATTCCTGGCTGTACTCCAAAAGACTGATTCTATTGGACTGGATTTCAGCCCAAACATCGGTCTGTTTTAGAAGCTCCCCATGTAATTCTGTGTGCCACAAATGTTAAGAACTTTAAGATCCTCTTATTAATTCTCTCTGAGTCTCAGTTGGCTCACATGCTCATAATCTGGAAGTCCCTGGACCCTAACAGCTCACATAAATATAAAAAATGTGCCTTTACTAACAGACACTTTGTGACAAAAATCTTCCACTTGCTCAGATTAGTGGGTACCCTCCCCCTATGGCTTATTGTTAGAAGCCATTTCACAAAATGCCAAAGAATATTCCCTGGTGTTCTGCAGATGAATAACAATTCTTTGGATTTTCTTTTCTTTTTTTTTTTTTTGCCTTGCTGAAACTGAGAAGTCCCTCGTAGTCTGGACAAATGCCAGCCCTTCCAGAGCTTCCTCAGAGAACAGTGGACACTGGTCATTCTCTTAGGTTACCGTTGCTTAAGGATACCATTCTCCACAGTTGGCCTGGGTTTTCAGGGACACAGCCTGTAAGAGATCAGCTCCTCCACTTCACACAGGGCAGCCATGTTTCCCAAGGCAGAGCCCTGCACCCGAGGAGCAGCCTCACAACAGACTGTAACATTTTCCCCTCCCCACCTAGTTCTAGCACTGTGCTCCCACCACCTAAGCCTGGGTTACCAGCCCATACTCCTGGAATGTTTCTGCTTGGTCATTCTTCCATTTCTTTTTGCCACCTGGCTTCAGGTCGGTCTTCTCTCATCTATAAGATGTGTCTTAGTAAATGTAACAATAAACACCAAACCCTCTTCTCTCAGAAGTTTCCTTTGTTTCTTCTTTATGTGTGTATGGGTTCATATGTATAAAAAATAAGAGCGAATACCTATTATCATTTTACCTACCAGCTTTTTCTGAACCCAAGCTCTTTCAATGCTCTATTTCCAAGTCCCATAAAAATGTTCTTATCCTTGAACCAATGGGTAGGAATGATCTTACTTTCTGTAACTTACAGGGGCTATTGGGACGAGTATTCCCAGAACAAAAGAACAACCTGCCCTAAAGCTAAGTTCAGATTTTCACTATGAACTTACAATACCCAAGTTTTCTTAGTTACAACCAATTTTAAGTTTTATTGCCCTAGTCAACTTACTACATGACAATTAGATTGGTATGAATGTTTTTCTCACAGGGTTGTTCAGAATAATAAATGAGATAAGATGTGTAAAGATCAATTCAAAAGGACTAATTATTGTCACTATCATTAATTAGTTATGCTAATTAACTTCTAATCAGAGTTGTTCCTTTGGGTTGCAAGAGTCCCAGGGCTTCTTTCTCCTGCCCCTGCATTGAATTCAGTGTGGTGGTCTGACACCCAGTCAATACAATCCAGTGGATTCCAGGTTGTCACCACATCATCAATCAGAGGAGTCACCCTGACTCAGTGATGAGGCCTGTGCATTGAAGCACAGGGCTATGTGCCCAGGAATCCTTCCTCACTCTCTTCTGTTCCTGTGAGAACAATTCAAGAGAACAGCTCTTGGTCAGGTGGTTTGGGGTTGCTTCTTGAACTTCTGTTTCCTTCTAGGTAGACCTTTAGGTCTTCAAGGAATAGGACAAAACTGGGGTAATTCTATATTAATCTATGCTTTCAACAGTCATACCAAGGCACTAATATGGGAGTTGTTTGGTACTTGCCTGCCTTTAGGAATACTGTGTCTTGATTCTCTCACGGTTCTTTGGGTCTGCTCTTATTAGTTAGGAATCTGGGAAGGTCATGGCTTGATCTTAGCACCCCTAAACCTACAATAGTGGTCTCAGAAAGCTATGACTCTTTCACCCTAGGGTTTTAACGACCATTGATGTTTTAAGAAATGTGTGCATGTCCCACAAAGGGAAGGACAGTTTTAGACTTTTCTTGGTTACAGCCATGGATGATTTGGGTAAGCTTATTTACCATGGGAAGTCACAAAAAATATTTAGGAGGTGGTACTGGTAGTACTGACTTGGTGGTCAATGGATGAAGCAGGAAAGGAGAGAGGTATTCAGGTTGACAACTTCCTCTAGAGCAAGGTTAGCCAACTACATCCACAAGGTCACAGCTAGTCTGCCACCAGTTTCAGCTTTTTATTTTGAAATAATTTTAAGACTCTACCTGCACCCATTTTGTAAATAAAATTTTATTAGAACATAACCATTCTTATTTGTTTATATATCATTTATGGCTTCTTTCATGCTTACAATGACAGAATTGAGCAATTGAAAATGAGAACATACAACCGGTAAAGTCTAAAATCAGTATTATTTGGCCCTTTACAGAATAAGTTTGCCAATTCCTGCTTTAGAGTCAAAGATTCTTCTCAGCCCAAATGTTTCTCCAAATGACCTCAGATTTCATAATTCTCCTCACTGTGAACCAAAGGCCACAAGAGCCCTGAAGAGGCAGAGAATGCCAAGGTTGGAAGTGTGCATTAGTGGTCATCTAATGCAATTCCTCATCTGTGTAGAATATTCCAATGCCGCCTCTTCATGCCCTCCCCTCCTGGGTGAGGCACACTGTGCCTGAGGTACCATCACTACTATGAGCCAGAAAGTTCTGCCTGTTGGAAAATGATTTCTTGTAACAAGCTAAACTCTGGTATAGTCAAGAAACATTGGCAACATTTTTAATATTTATGACTCCCTCTCCAGCCTTTGAAGGAAGAAGACTTCATTCCTGGCAGGATGGTTTTCTCTGCCTGATAGGTGGATAGGTGGAGGAGACTATTTCTCAAGTAAGAAATAGTAAGATACACCAACCCACAGATGGAATGGCTCTGTGGAGCAGCTCATTTCTTCTACATGGGAACAGATGCTGGGCTCCACTGGAGGGCAGATCCCAAGTAGGCTGCTGGTGGGTGTGGCTGGAAGGTGAGACAGGAGGAACTACAGGTGAGGAAGGAGTCAGAGGTGTGGAAGTCTCAGATTATTCTTCAGCACTTCTGGAGTGGCCCTTGAGTATGTGATTGTATTTCTAGATGCTGTCACTATTTGAAGTGTCCTTTTAGGGAGAACAAAGGGACTCCAATGATCCAGAGGCATTTGAGCTGTGAATTTGAGGTTCATTGATGCATTGGTACTATAGCTTCTGTTAAAAGATCTTTCAGTCATAATTGTCCAATTTCTGCTCACTGCCTTATTTTCTAACCCTAGGTTTCCTCTTCTCTGACCTCAAATGGTGCTTGAAACAAGCAGGTGTATGATATATGTATTAAATTATCACAATGTACTCCATAAATTTATACCATTATAATAATAAGAAAATAAATAGAAAGTCATGAATCCAATGAACTTGATAGTATTTCTCAATGTATGGTGCATGTCCCAGGAGAGCTATATAAACTGATACTGATACTCAGGTGGGCACTTTAGTATTCGTAGATACCATTTTTTTAATGTCTATTTGGGAAAAAGAAGTGTATGATTTCATTGATGTTACTCCCTAGGAAGAAACTAAACTCAATTAAATAATAGTAGTGATGGTATACAAATAAGGAGCATGACTGGTATTTAGGAAAGTAGGCAAAAGGACCTTCTGATTGACTTTCTAGAATTCTTCCCCTCTTCCCTGTCTTTTCTCCTGTTTCTTCTCTGTGGCCATGTGCTGTCCAGGAGAGGGGGTGGCACATCTATATTCAGATTCAAAACAGTGACCTTGACTGTTGAGGTCTGTGCTTAAAGGGTCCTCTCAGTTCTCCCAAGAGTCACCTCTTCTTTGTCAGGTGCAGCTCTGTTTTCCTAACTTCAAATTCGGATGAGGTACATGGAACTGTAGGGGGAAAACCAAAATGAAAGCAAGAAAACCAAAGTCCTGCAGAGAATATGCATCCACACTTTACTTGGGATTGCAGGAGGTGTTCTCTAACTACATTGTCAGAAGACCTAATGTGTTTGAAAAGCAAATCTGCAGAATTAACAGCCAGTAAACAGTCAATATTGAAGATTGCAGATTCTGTCTCACTTATTTTTAGAATAAGACCTTACTTATTTTTGTTCACTTCTTGGCATGAAGATATCTATAATCTGCTCTTTCTAACTCACTGCTAATGGGTTCATGCATGTCTGCTTTCCTTGATCTGGATTCTAGATGATTTGTCCACAATAGTGGAGGGAAGAAACCAGCCACTGCATGTTTCTTTTCTGATGTTAGAGATTACTGAGTGTCCAAAGTTGATGAAGCATGGCATTCCAAGGTGGACAAACCTGGATTTGAACTTGTCTTAGCCACCCCATCTGTGGGTTGGTGTTTCTTACTTAAATGGGTCTCACTTTCTTTGATTGCTCTGCAAATTACATTTCCCGCCCCCCACAGGAGTTTTATTGTAGGGATTTAAGAAGTACGATACATATAAAAAAAATTCTCAGCCTGAGTGCTGTTGAGTTTTAGATGCTAAATAAATATCAGTTCTTTTTTCAATTTTTTATGAGCTTGACAAGTGCTAGAACTAGATGCTACAGACAAGGCAAAGATGAATACACTCAGGTCAGAGTGGCAAATTAGTCTTCTTTCATGTGCCAGCTCTCAAGAAGTGATGCAGACTCGGGGAGAGCTGCTGTGAGAGGGATTTGAAGGGTGAGCAGAGAAGAGTGTCAGTCACTTAGCTATGTCTTCCAAGGAACATGAATGTCACATATGCCACCATGGGCACGACCCTACTTTTGAGAAGTCAAAGCTAATACAGTGTGATATTTGTCTAAAACAAAAATAGCTATTGCACAAGAAGACTGCTGGGAGGTAGGGGTGACCACTGTCTCATGTCTCGAGGCCTGTTGGCAAACCAGAGAGGAATGAACAGGTGGCTTTGGACCAAACCAGTTTTTCCTCCTTTCTTGCCTGCAGGTCTCAACAATAACCAGAGAATGTCCTGAGAACACAGCATCCTGAGATAAGGAGAGACAGGCTGGACAATCTGAGCTCTGTTCTAGTCGACCTCCCCAGAAACAGGATGCCCTCTGCTATGGTTTCAACATGTCTCCCAAAGTTCCTGTGCTGGAAACTTGGCCTTCAAGGCAACAGTGTTGAGAGGTGCATCCTTTAAGAGATGGTATTAATGGATTAATCCTGTTATCATGGGCAGATGAGTTATGGTAGGAGTGGCTCTTGGTAAGAGGATGAGTGTATCTGCCTTCTCTTCTCTCTCCCCATATGAAGAATAGGAAGAAGACCCTTATCATGTGCCATCTTCTAGCTTCTAGAAATCCCAGTCTTCAAAACTGTGAGAAATAAATTTCTTTATACAGTGTCAAGACTGGATTCTGTTATAGCAACAAGACATGGACTTGGACACTGCAGTGATTCAGCCCAGTGTTTCTGGTGTTTGGCTTGTTCAACACAACCCAGGGCTGCTTTCAGGATCCCTCAGCTGCTGTGCTACTGAGGCACACACAGTTGAGACTACTTGTCCAGGGCAGTTTTCCTGAGCATTGGGGAACGGGCTGGCATGAATCCAGAGTATCTGTTGTCTCTTAACTGTAAATATTAAACATGCTTCATGTAAAACATGCATGTGTGAAACTTCTTGTTCCTTCTGCCATGTGAGAACACACAGAAAGTGCCATCAGTAAGGAATGAGCCCTCACCAAGCATCAAATCTGCTGATGCCTTGACCTTGGACTTTCCACCCTCTAGAACTATGTTCAGTAAATTTCTGTTGTTTACACATTACCAATCTATGATATTGTGTGAGTGTGTGTGTGTGTGTGTGTGTGTGTGTGTGTGTAGAGAGAGAGAGAGAGAGAGAGAAGCTGTGGGGTGGACTAAGACACAAGGCTTTGTTTTATCCAGGAGAAACTCCATAAAGTCAGGAACTCAGTTCCTCTTATTCTCTCCTGTATCCCCAGAAGCCTTGGCAGTACCTGACTCAGAGTCAGTGCTAATAAGTCTTTTGGGAATAACAGAATATATTTGCAGAGTGTACGTCTTGGTCTTGGCTTCGTATTGAAGTTGTTAAATTTCAGCGAACAGAGCAGTCAGAACCTCTTTCGGAGTTTCTGTGCCCAGAGTCCCCCTTTTAAAACAAATATTTTATAATGCTTCTTGAAATGTCTTGCAATGATGTTCACAGATCATGTAATTTGTCCACAGATGTATTTTTTTTTAAAAAAGTCAATATGATATCTTTGCCATTCTTCAAGGGAGAAAATGAAAAGAAAGTAATTTACAGTAAGGCAATGAATATTTCAACACACAAATGCCTACTCCTACTTTTAAAGACCCCATGAAATACACAGGTATTTGTAACTATACACAAGGTAGACAGAAACATGGAGAAAAAGTTGACATGTTCTGGTAAGTTGTATCATGTGTGGAATTTCCTAAATGGTGACCAATGCATGGCAAGATCTCTCATAAAGTACAAATCTCCCCTCTGTTGACTCCGGGAAATTCATTATATTAAATCTGCACAGAACTGAGGATGTAACTCAGTGGCAAAATGCTTGCCTGGCATGTGTGAGGCCCTGGGTTCTATCTCTAGCACTGGGGTGTGGGGGGGCAACAAAACATAAAATACAGCAAAGAAATTATATAAAAATGCTCTATTTTTAGATGAAAAAAGGAGCTGGAGCCCAAGTTCTGACAACTTTTTCAACTACCTGAATACCTGTGGGTTACATGGGCGTGAAGCCTAGTCTTTATGGAGTGGATAGCTCCGCATTATTGTCATAGGGTATCTGCTTGGCCCTCACCCATGAAATGCCAGTGAGTGCCCTCTTGTCATGGAGCCCAACATCCTCACACATTTCCAAAACATCCTTGAGGTTGGTACCACTCCTACAAAGCACTCATTTTTTATTCTATGAAGGAGGGATGCACTACCTCCGGAAAGAAAGAATAATTCCCTAGAATACATAGGGTTTTAAAGATAAAGTGTGGACCAGAGCAACAGTCTGCTCAATTCTTAGTCCAAACTGGGGTTCTGGTTTGCAGTTGGAGCTGAGGTTTGGAGTCATGTACACATAGTTTCAAATTCTGACTTTGACCTTGGGCAAATGGCTTCCTCTGAGTCTCTGCCTTCTCATTTGCAAAACCGAGATTAAAAAATAGCATTTATCTTAAAGAGTTATTTTAAGGATTGAGAGAATGTGACTGAATTCTTAACAGAGAGTTCTTAGTGAATGATAGCTCTTATCACACCGTTTATTAACCTTTAAAACCTACTTACTTGAGTGCCAAGAGGAAGTTTTGTATCATAATCCTGGAAAACTTCTTCTCCATTTGAATCTTTCTCTGAACAGAAACACGTGTTGATCTTTGTTCTTTATTTCCAACCCTTCAGTCCCTTTCCAGAACAAAGAGTCTCTTCACTGAGCTCCTCCTCCTGCCAACCCTGGGCCACCTTCAAGGATAAAATGTCTTGGGTAGAACAGTTCCAATCAGCTTATCAATTTGACTCTTAAGAAATGGAGAAAGGAAATATGTGGCTGCAATTCGGTTTGCAAAGGTGGAAGGAATGACACTTTCTGAGTTTTTATTTTGTACCAGATGCCTTTTGGATGGTCAATTCCCCGCGCCGCCCATTCTCTCAACATCCTAAGGCATGTTTTATTTGTTATCTATCACCTGCATTTTACGGGTGAGACAGTGAGGATTCCGGAATGTTGAGGCCCTTCTTTCAGGTCACTCAGAGCCCGGACTGAAATCGGGTCTGTTAGGAGTTGTTCTGATTTGGAGCCTTTCAAAAGCAGGCTCTTGCGACCTAGATTTGAAAGTGGTCTATTCCGAAATTGCTGTCAATTTTTGGTCTCAGCTTGGTACCCTTCAATATATGCTCTGTGGCAAACAAAAGGATTCCTTTTAGGCTTTTCTCCTTTAAAGTGAGCCCAATGTTAAGCTTTCTCAGTAGAGGGCGCTGTAGGACATTGCACCCGGAGCCGGGTCCCCGCTGTCTCCGCGCGCCAGGGGCTCGGAGGTGTGAGTAAAGGAGGATCGCTACTTCTGGGACCGAGCAGCCTCCGCCTGCTGATAACCTTTGTGCATCCCCCTCGTCCCCGGGCATGGAAAGCAGAGCCCCCAGCACAGCCTGCGCTCCCTGAAGGGCTCCCGCGCTCCCCAGTGCTCGGACTCCCTACCTGGCTGCGCTCAGGTGGGTGGCGGCCTCGCTCCGCAGGTTCCTGCATGACCTGTGCAGGAACTCTCCGGGTAGTGGGTCGCTGATAGAGTTGCCGCTCCTACAACGTCCTGCGTCCAGCGCCCTCGGAAGGCCTCATGCTCTGACCTGCTCCGGGATCTCATCCTGATCGCACCCCAGCCTGCACTCCGGAGGCTGGCCTAGTCCCACTGGTTCCAGGCCACCTGCGGCCCAGCCAAAGCAGCTTCTCTGCTATCCAGTGGGCTGAACCAAAACTTCCCCTAGAAATCTGGGTCCTTCTCAAGTTTGCTTTTTTCCTGGGTGCTCTCCCTTAGCCCAAGGGTGCTTCCTAGTTAACGATTCTTTGTTCTAAATAATGATAATAAATAAATAATGAATAACAGGAGACCAGTTACCTTACTGTGAGGCCTCTGTCTTCTAAGGACCAAGATTATTGTAGGAGACTATCCCAGGAAGAAGACAATAAGCAGTATGCGAACAGGGGAGTCTCTACTGTGCACATGTAGGGCTCAGACCCACCAGAGTTCCTCTGAAAGTCTGCATGCCATGCCCTTTAGCCTTGCCCTAGTAGGGGCCAACAGAAGTAGCTCATGGAGGGTTGCTCTTGGGGACAACTCCCTGTCTGGACTATGAAGAACATACTTCTGAGGCCAGAAAAAGCCCCAGGAAGAGAGAAGTAATTTCTTGCTGGTAAGATGTCTATGTGCTTGGGAACTGCTCACTAAAGCTGCAGTGACCTCTGGGATGGGGGTCAAAAGGATGTGGGTGGACAAGGACCAGTCTCTGCAGACATGTTGCAGGATGCTGGGTGACTGAAGGAACTGGTCAGCTGGATGCTGATGAGTGGCTCTGATTGATTTGAGGGTGAATTTTCTGGAAAAGATAGTTGAAGAAGATCAAATGTTTTCCTGACTGGTGTAATTTAATTGTACAGTTGGTGTTTGCTGTGTATAATTGGATTTTTCTTTGACCTTGACAGTCTTGCTGGCTCACTACCTGCATTGGAAGACAGTTTTCTAACTCTCTCAAATATAGCAAGCCAAACCTGGCTTCCATGGAGGGCTGGCAGGCCTGCCACAGTCACAAGGTGCCAATGGCTATGGCAACCAGCCAATAAAGCCAGTGGTGTCTGTATTTTCCATTTTGCCCTTTATAGGCACATTTCAGCTGGAAAAAAAGGAGTGATTTTTTCCTTCACTTTGGGCTTCTGAAGAGAAATCTTGGTGACATTCAGTCCTTTAATTCTGTGCACTCTGAAGTTCAGTGATGTCGAAGCTCTGTTCTTCTATGGAGCACAGTGGGTACCAAGGTGGGAGGTTCTAATCAGAAGGTCATCATAAAAAAAACTAGGCAGGGGTTATAGGGAGTGTCTGTCTGTGCGCCCAAGGAGGTACTTCTACCTTAAAATGTATAAGTCATTCACTTTTTGCAATAAACAACTCACATGGCTTCCCAATTGAAGATGTGTTCTTTTCACATATAACAAGCTCATAAAAGAAAGAATAAGGATGCTTACTCTATACTGAAATGGAAAAAGACTCTGAAATCTGTTGTTAAGTGACAAGAGCAAAATAAAGAACAGGTGTGAGTGAATAAGTGAACACCTAAATAAGTGTTGTATGAGGGGGGGCTACATAGTTAACATTTCTGTATATGCATAACAATGTGATAAAAGTATCTGGATGTGGAAAAGGAGGGCAAAAACTAAGATTTTCCAATTTATAACTTGTGTATCATTTTGATTTTAAAAATTCCATCAATGTATTTCCTGTTCAAATAAAGACATAAGTACTGAAGTGCCCAGTGAAGAACATAATCATTGTAATAATGTCCTATCATCATTCTTACAACCTTTGAAGGAAGCTTTAGATGGGAAAGTGCATTGCACAACATTCAATCCTTTGCAAATATTAGGGGTGGGGGTGAGCGTTTTCAGAGGATCATGGAATTTGTTTTTACATCAATCCTGCTATTTGCCATCCAGGCAGCAGGGGGAGGTGTTTCTCTGTTTTTCTTTGCACCTTTCTCCACCTCCCCAACTTGGTATGCAAAATGGACCAAGAATTCTTTAATTCAAATCTATGCACAAAATGCACCACATTTGCTAGATTCATGTTGTTACCCTCTCATCCCCCAAATCTTGAGGGGACTTGGAGCTTCCAGCAGGCTGCTAATGATTATTCAAAAGGGGCTGATTGTCGAGTTTGCTTGTATAAAGTCCTTCTTCTCTCTTCTTTCTGCCCCTCCTTATCATTCCACTCAGCTCCCATACAGCACTTGCCATAATCAAGTCACAGAAAACAAAACTTAAATTATGGAAATTCACAGCTTATTTTTTCATTGTGCAGATGAGACTCAGGATTTGGAAGGCAAAACAAACAATCAAACA